AATAGTCTAGCAGTTTCTCAAAAAGTTAAACATAGAATTACCATACGAGTCGGTAGTTCACTCCTAGATACATACTCAAGGAAAATGAAAACACAAGTTCACACAAAAACTTGCACACACTGTTCACAGCAGTATTATTCATAATAGCCAAAAAGTGGGAAATACTCAGATGTCCATCAATAAAATAAAGGTGACATATCCTTACAGTGGAATACTACTCAGCAATTAAATGGAACAGAGTACTGAAACATGCTATGATATGGATGAATCATGAAAACATATTAAGTGAAAGAAGCCAGGCACAAAAGACACATATTGTATGATTCCATTTATATGAAATGTCCAGAATAGGCAAATCTACAGAGATAGAAAGTAGATTCATGGTGGCCTAAGATGAGGCGTACGAGGGAAATGGAAGATGACTGCTCATGGATACAGGGTTTCTTTTGGGGATGATGAAATTGATTGTGGTGATGGCTGCACAACTGTGAATATACTAAAAACCATAGAATTGTATACTTGAAGTGGGTGAATTTTATGGTATGAATATCTCAATAAAGCTGTTATATATAAAAAAGAAAAAGACCCCAAATCTCTATCTCCAGTCATGGAGATCACAAACTTCAGATCACTATATTATAGGCATCTCAGTCTTTGCATGTTGAAAACGTAAAATCACTGACTTCACACACACTCATTTATCATAACCGGCAACACTGTCATTCAGTTACTCAAACTGAAACCTCAGAGTCAGTCTATTCTCTGACTCTCCCCTATATTGATGACTATAAAAGCTATCAGGTTTACATCTTATGCAGCTCCTAAATATTACTCCCCCATGCCTCAGACTTCTTTTAGCCCTTAGAATTTCCTGCCAAAATTACAGCAAAAGTCTCCTAAATGATCTCACTGTCTCCAGTCCTGCCTTTCTCCAGTAGATCCTCCACTGCTCCCAGAGTGAGTGTTTCTAAAATGCAAATACGGTTATATCAATCTCCTACTTAAAAATCCAAACTCCTCCATAATCTTACAAAACTTTCAGGAATGGCAGCTGAAACTCTCTGGCTGTCTCCTCTTCCCTCACTCTTACAAGTGTACCGGCTTTTTGCCATCTTCACAGCACACGACTTACCTCTGTATACATTCTCCCTTTTTCCTGCAATGCTCCTCCCCGATTTCTCCCATGGTTAACTACTAGCCTTTAAACTGAAAGACTTCTGTGACTCTCCCCACAACTAGGTAACACACAGCCCCTTTGTCTTCCCACAGCATGTTAAGCAACCATCACTTAGCACACTCTGAGTCTTCCTCAGAAGATAATGAATTGCCTGAGGGCTTTCATCTCTCTATCCTTAGCACATGCCAAGCATGCAACTAATGAATGAATGAGTGGTCTGGTAAATGGTAAAACTGGTGTTTTCCATCAGCTTTAAAATTACCTAAGAACTAGTATTTAATAACTCATCCTGGATTGACATTAAGTCACAGATATAGAAATGCTGGTATATACCAAATAGATTATCATATTTAAAAGTTATTCAACAGTTATACATATGATTTAATGAGAACCTAGCGATATACAATATTAAGCTTTAGACTACACAACGTGATAGGGTCAAAGTGGGATTTGACTTACCTTGACAACATCAGCTTTATGTTTTTCTAAAACTTGAAGAGTTTGGGCCGTATTAGAATCAATCACTACCACAAGCGAATGACATCCATAAGCAATTAAACCTTGCCAGCCCCTAACAAAACAGTAATGTTAAAATATAGGTACAAAACAAAGCAGGACAACTTCTCTCTTGCCAATCCTAAATAAATGATAAATCTAACTCACATATATGACCATTAAGGAAATATTATTTAAAACCCAAGGCCAGTATTTAACATTATACTATTGAAATAAAAGATCTAGTTAACTTAAAAAGCTTGTTGAAATTCACTTTTCCTTCAGATTAAAAAAGGTTCTAAGAGATATGAACAAAGAGCCCTGAGGATGTATAAAGCAACTCATGCCCTCTGATCGTCTTTGTGGGCATATGTCTTCTTTTATCCAACTTCAAATCCTTAGTATACACAATGTGCCTGGGGTAACCACCTGTGACTAGTCCCTGTCCTTCCAACTACAAAAAACAAACACTGGACAGGAGGTTTCAGTCCTCTTGACAACATTCCCAGAGCCACAGCTACAGAATTTTGCATCACATTTGCCCAATTATTAGTTTTCAGAGTCGCAGTGGTATTTTACAGTGAAAAGATAAAGAGCAATAAAGACGACCTGTTGAGGACAGAAACGTCCTACACAGGAAGAGTCAGAAGACAGAAGGTGAGAAGGACAGGTGAGAGAAGAGATCAGCGCCTAACACAGGGTCTGGGACATCGTTGAATGGATATAGGTGAAAAACAGGACTAAGAGAAAGAGGACAGGAAGGGAGAGAACCTGGAAGTTGGAGGAGAGGTAAAGAGGGGGGAATGGGATGGCAAAAGAGGTGCGAAAAAGCAGAGAAACGAATATGGGAGAAAAAAGGGCAAATGTATAAATGGATTTCCCCGGGAATTTCCTACAAGGGGCATTTACTACTTTTGTAAAAACAACCAAAATCCATCATCTAAAAGAAAATCTCACAGTGTGAGGGCGGCTCCCTGTGTGGGCGAGGCCAAACTACCAGGGGGCGAAACCTTCTTTCCCCTTCCCCTCACAAACTCCCGGCCGATCCCAAAGCCCTGGAAGCCGGCGCCCTCACCAGTCCACTGCCGCCTTGTTGTGGGCGTTGAGGGCCCCGGTGAGGGTGCGCGCCGACACCTTGAAGTTGACCGTGTAGGGCAACATCGCGCGGAACAGCCCGAACCCTCCAAACCGACCCGCGACCAGGAAGCGGCGGACACTGCGCTTCCGTTCCAAATAGAATCCGGGTAGTCCCGTGGGCGCTGCTGTCAGGTTCCGCTGGATCTAAGGTTCCACATTCTCTGGGTTCTACCGCCCCCTGATTCCATCGTCTCGAGTTTAGGTTGCCTTAAGTTCCACGGATGCCGGGTTCGCCCCTCTCCAGAGTGCCGCCCCCGCAGGTGATTCCCGCACTCCGCGCCAGAGGGGCTGTGCTTGGAAGAGCAGGTGCTGCCTCCAGTCAAGTCTGTTTCCTTCAGATTGGGACTGCTTAGGCCTCCGTGCACCGCTGGAAATCATGAAAGGCAAAGGATAATAGTCCCAGTTATCCTTTCTGCCTTTGATCAGTTAACTTAGGGTGACTGCCAATGCCAGCCACTGTTGTAGGCGTCGGAGATGTACCAATGACGAAGACACAAAGTCTCCGCTCCCAAGTTTACAGAGAATAAATGAATGAGATTAATGAATGCATGAGATTAATGAATGAATGAAAGGGATTAACTGAAATTGAGAGGGCGAATGAAATAAATGGCTCAAATACATTTTTATTTTATTTTTTATCTATATAAACAATTTCCAAATACAGAGAACGTTCCATATCTGGTCTTGGAAATACTCCCTTCACACTTGAGGAAAAAGTAGCGCTATGCCTGGGGCCAAGGGACCCTTAGCCTGTTTGCTGAGGTCATTTGCATTTTGCACTTTCTCCTCTGCTGTTCTCAAGTCAGACCCAAACCTTACTTCATTTGTGCTCAGCACTTGGTTTATACCATTTACTATAGTACCTAATGCAATGGTTTATTTCCAGCAATGATATTTGCAGATGTCTATTTCTCACCCAATACATTGTTAGCTCCTTGATCAGCAAAAGGAACAACATATTGGTAGTTTTTTCATTACCAATCTTTGTGTCAGCCTTATCACTCTTGTAAAACAGCTTTCTCAAAGATCACCTCCAGTATACTCTTAGTTGTTAAAGCCAATGAACATCTTTTGGCTTTTAGTTGTTCTCTTGCAACTAGTCACGGTTGCTGCTGTCCATCCTTCACCTTGCTGTCTAACTTTTCCTTACCTCACAGCCCAACCTACTGATGTATTGGGGGCCACCAGATGTGCCCATAACCACAGATCTAAATTTATCACTCCCTTATCTAAAATCTTGGATGCCTCCTGTGACAAGGATTGCTAATTGGCACTCCAAATTCATTCTCTCCTTTCATAGGAACAGGATTTCAATTCATGTCTGGGCACATTGTCACTCCATTAGATGAATATATTTCTCCACTCCACTTACAACTAGAGCAGGCCATGAGACTAAATTTCTGCTCAATGAGATAGATGAAAGTGGAAGTGTTGTGTAGCAACCTCTGAGAAGGCACTTTCTATGCTGTTCTTCTGTGCTATTTCAGTAGTTATACCCTACATTACTGCTAGCTGCAGATATGTCTGTCTCAAAGGGGAGGCCAACACATTTTTAGGTAACTGTAACATAGGGTAATAAACATACCATAGTAGCCTTAGAATTCTCCTCAGAAAGGAACAAAATTCTAGTCTTCCTTTCTCCCCAGTGCCTAGCACCCTTCCTGGCATGCAGTTAGTCCTCAATAAATGATTGATGGTGCAGGAGTTCCAAATGCCCATTAAGCATAAGGTCAAACAGGTACAAGGTGACAATCAGGAGTCCATCTAGGAGCTCACAACTGGAGGCAGGCAACAGGTAAACAGACCTTCCATTCCCCTGGTAAGAAAAAGCCTCTTGGGGAAAGAAAGATTAATTAGTTTAAATCTGCAAGCTACCTTGAAGATATGGATGTTAAATATTCAGGGTAAGAACCAGCCGGGGTTGGGACAACAATATGTCTCCCATGATACAAGTGTGCAATTAAGTAGGTTAATGGATTTTTATGCCCTTCTCCAAAACCTCTGTCTTTCCCAATGTGAAAGACAGAATATTGGAGACATTGGACAATTGTTCTCTTTAATAGGACAAAACTTAGGCTCCTCTTGCATGCCTAAAAAATAACTATTTCAGCCCTTGCCTGATGACATAAACTCCAAAGCCTGGTAACATGGGCTCACGGCATCCTGCTGCTAAATCATTTGCATTCCTAAACCAAGCCTTTTTCCTCTTTCTTTTAAAGTTCATGGAGATAAGAGAGTGGGGAAACACGAGAAAGGGATGAGGACAGAAATAATATGTAACTGAATAAATCACTTCGTAAGTAAACTTTCCAAGGTCACGTAGGTGATGAAGTCAATAGCTTACTGTTGAGCACTCACAAAGCGCCAGGTGCTGTGATAAACCCTTCACTTTCATCATCCCATTTAATCCACACAAAGTCACAAAGACCATATTATCACAAGTATCCCATAGATGACAAAATTAAAGCTGAGTTGCCCAACATTACACAGCCAATAGAAGGTAGAGCCAGTGTTGGAACCCAGATGAGTCTAATTTTGAAACTGATGCTTTGAACTACTGGCAGCACCACATTGCCCTCCATGTCAGATCTACAGCCCAGTTGGAAAAAACTCCAGCCGCCTCGGAAGCATGAGATTTTAAAAACCATCAGCATTATTGATATATAATTCACATACCACACAATTATTCCATTTAATATGTACAATTTATTGGGTTTTAGGATATTCACAGAGTTTTGCAACCATCACCGTAATCAATTTTAGGACAGTTTATCACTTCTAAAAGAAACCCTGTACCCACTAGCAGTCTCTCACCATTCCCCCACTTCCCTTCCCTCAGCTCTAGCAACCACTGCTCTACTTCCTGTCTCTATAGATTTGCCTATTCTGGACATTTCATACAAATGGACTTGCATAACTATATATATCCTTTTATGCCTTGCTTCTTCAATTTAGCATAATGTTTTCAAGATTTGTCCATGTTGTATCATGTATCAGTACTTTATTCCTTTTCGTTGCTAAATAATATTCATTGTATGGATATACCATTGTGTATTTCTCCATTCATCAGCCAATGGACATTTGAGTTGTTGCCACTTTCTAGCTATTATGAATAATGCTGCTATGAACATTCCTGTATACATTTTTATGTCAACATGTGTTTTCATTTTTCTTGGGTATATATCTAGGAGTAGAATTGCTGGCTCACAGGATAACTCTTCTGTTTAACTTTTTGAGGAACTGCCAGACTGTTTTCCAAAGAGGCTGCACCATATTACATTTCTATCAGCAGTGTATGAGGGTTCCAATTTCTCCAAATTCTTGCCAACACTCACTATTACCTGTCATTTTTATAATAACCACCCTAGAGGCTGTGAAATAGTTTTCATTGTGGTGTTGATTTGCATTTTTCTGATGGCTAATGATGGCATCTTTTCACATGTCTGTTAGCCATTTATATCTTCTTTGGAGAAAATAACTATTCAAATCCTTCGCTCATTTTTAAATTGGGTTATCTGTCTTTTCACTATTGAGTTATAAGAGTTCTTTATGTATTCTAGATGCAAATCTCTTATCAGATATATGATTTGGAAAAATTTTTTCACATTCTGTAGGTGGCAGTACGGACTTTGAGCCACTTAGCTGAGCAAACATTCCCAATGAGGTCAAGGGCTGCAGTCAAGGTCTTATTTCCAAAACTAAGAAAGATAGCCCTGGCCTGGTTGTGGTCTCATTGTGGAAAGCAAAGGGAACACGATTCTGACAATGAGATGTTGTGTATAAGAACAAGGTGTGCTCCCAGGAATAAGGAAATGACTCAGAGGGAAAATTTGTGCATATGTAATATTGCTGTTTGTGTAGCTTTTGTTCTTATTTTTGTTTTAATTTATTTTACTTGAAATGGTAACATAATAAGCAACCTCAGGCACACCGTCGATGGTCCTGCCCAATGCCTGCACATGTAAAAATTCATGGGAATGTTACACTTGTCTAAACGTCTTCTAGCACCAAGAGCTTCTATGTGCATAAGTCCATGAAATCCATGCACTCTATGTGATCCTTTAACGGCTTTCAAAGGCCCTTCTATTGCTAACACCAGGTATCATTTGTTGGGCATTTAACCATGTACTAGGAGGTGAGCTAAGAACTTTCCATGTGAGCTAAGGCTTGTTCACTCTTTAATCCTCACAGTGGACTTTCCTCTTCTGGAGTCATGGAAGGTTAGCATTAGTATAATAGTAGAAGGGCGTCGTTGCCACTTTGGGCACATCACTTGATTTCATTAAGCCTCCTTTTCTTCGTCTATTATTGGGGGGGAGGAAAGTAACTATTCTTGGACGATTGAAAGCATTAAATTAGTTATTTTTGACAGGCCTGGGGCATGAATCTAGACCTCCTGTTTTCAATGACAATGATCACCCCTCTAAGCTACCCCATTTTGAATCTGAAGGAAGATCTTTCTCTTTAAGGTTTCATCTAAGGTGTGACTTGCATGAGAAGAAGTATTAAGGATTGGGAAAAAATGGAGTGGAATTTGCTGTGTCAGTCACCAAGACACCAAAACTGCAGCCGGCTTTAAAACGAGGGCTTTAAGGGATCGGAACAGTGAAGGCATCAGGCGGCATTGGGGAGATCACTGCTGAGGTTGGCCTAGAAGGACTAACTCAGCTCTTTCTAAAAGGTCAGGCCGTCCTCAAGCACAGCCAAAGACATGACTGTTTGAGCTGCCAGGCAGGTCCCACCAGCACTCTGCAAGAGCCATGGGTAGGGACAGCCACCTGCCAGTCACCTCCTGCTTACTGCGGCTGATGCTGCTCAGGGCTTTCCTCTGGCGGCTGCAGGGGTTAGCTTTCGAGGAGAGGGGTTGCAACTTGTGTACCCTTCAGCATGACGTTGCTTCAAGTCTCTTCCCGGTTTGGCCACCACTGAGCCTCCTTCTCAGGCCTGGTCTCTACCCAGAACCTTCTCCTGATGCCTGGCTGCTCAGACTCCTACCAACCCTATACTGCCTTTGTTAGGTTATTTTCCTTACAACATTGATATTTTAAATCGGCCAAACCTTTATTATTTAACCAA